TTGTTGTCCATAGCAACCCTATGCACAACAGAATGAAATACTGTTGGGTCCTGTGCCTTCTTCACAATTGTTCTGTTTGAATCCATTGTTGTTGCCACTGTGTCAATTCATCTTGTTGAGGGTCTTCCTCTTTTTCACTGATCTCTACTTTACCAAGAATTATAGAAAGTATTTATTAGGAAATGAGTGATGACCCAAGAAACTAGTCTATCCAGTAATTCAACCAAGCACTGAACATATTGGGCTTATATCCAGTGTACCCTTGGGTTGTACAACATTTCACCTGACCTGAAATGAAAACCAAATGCATATGAAACGGAAATGTCACATATGTAGATGAAAATGACTGGTGAGATTTTATGTAAATTTGATTTATGTAAATAGACACAATGCAGGAAGAAAGCCTGGATTATAAATGGAAGGTAATCCCGAATTGGTTAGCTTCTCCAGGCTCATGATTTGAAAATGAAGGCGCTTTTCCCACTGACGTTTCTTGTTTTTCTTATCCCTCTTGCTCATGCAGAAGATAGACACTATAGCATAGGCATTAGAGAAACTGCTTGGGACTATGCAATTACTGGTAGAAATATGCTCAATGGAAAGGTTTTCTCAGAAGATCAGTAAGTACTACTTTTGTATTGAAAAAGTTTCTATTAGTGACTTAAGTTATTTATTTTTACTTGTTGATAAAATGCTGGTAAAGAATTTCCCACAATTGATTCTCTAAGGATATTTTTGTTGTTACGACCATTTTACTTGTTTAATATAAGAATGGTATGGAAGACATGAGTTAGAAATTGTATCTTCCTGGGATTATCAGTATTGCTGCCTTCCTTCCACATTATCCCAGGATATGCCAATAATGCTATTTATCATTAATTCATGTGTTGTTTAAGCTATAAAACAATGCTTTTCCTTCTAATGTGGGTGTACTGTTGTGCTGTTGAGTTGATTCTGATACATAGTGACCTTGCAAAACAGCATAACTGCCCCCATGGGATTACTTTTCCTGAAATCTTTACAGGTGCAAATCACCAAGTCTTTTCTTCCATGCAGCCAATAATGGGTTCAATCCACTGACCTTTCAGTTAGCAGCCCAGCTCTTAATCACTGCACCATCAGAACTCCTTGGGTATACCTTAAGTCCACTACCACCAGTGAATCCTGATTCACAGTGACC